GCAAACTCAGCCGGTCGTCAAACGTGTCTGCGGAGAAACGGCGGACGAGGACGCGTATTCCATAATTCTCGATGGTGGCAAGTTGGTTCCTCAGGTCCTCATTCCTTGTTTGTCGCAGGCTTCACAACTTCACGCACATGCATTTGTTTGGATAGCGATTGAAAAAATTGCTTCATGAATCAAGGCCTCTGCACTTTGTTGCGGCGCCAAGCAAAGCAGTATGCACCTCAGTTTTTGTCATGAAGCTGAAATAGATGCTAATGCTGAGAAGTGTGACGTGGAGCAAGGAATACTTCGTGTTCAATACGCGCCAGCACACGTCGATGTCAACACTGACCGTTCAGAGTCCGGGCGTCAGCCACATGCCAGTCAGTCGAGATGCCTTCATGACTTCGAGCTGCTAAACTTTCAGGGAGGAGGACTCTTAGTCTTGCTCAAAGTCGCTTAGCCGCTTGCAGTCCCGTACGATCCTGGTGATCCAGAGATGAGTCTTGCCGCAGCCTTGAATGCGAGGTGCATGCAGCAGTGCTGGCAAGTTGGGTTTCTTCACCTTCTAATGTTGAATCACCCGTGGCTGTGGCACCCTGCAAAACTTGACAGTTGAGGTGAAGATGTATGTCTTGGAGTGCGACAAAGAGACTTGCCAAACTCTTCTAGCATCTTTTCGAAATCTTCGCAAGGTTCCTGTTGTTGGCCTGTTGTGCTGTCTTGATGTTGAGGATGCCTCAGTGGCGTCACAGCAGAGCTTCAGGCTCCCGACGCGTCAGAAGTTGCATGCCGGGAGAACCGGAGAATCTGAGAGTGTTGAGATTCCATGCCAGCCAACGTGGGATCGTCAACTCACGCTGGCAACTTGTGGCGATGGTGGTCGGGCAGCCGCGCTTGATGTTTGATATTGTTTTGCAAGTGCATAGCTGCATAAGCTTTTAAGCTGATGCACTTTTTTTCTGGAGAAGCTGTGCAGGCGCAGCGGTCAGACAGCACAGATGGCACAGGCCGACATGGTCAAGAATCACCACAACAATTGCTGCACCATATCTGAATGCCAACGGATCGGTTGTTTTTTGGTGTCTCACGGCAGATTTTGTGGGGAACCCGCCTCCAGGTGCCTGCCACGGGGTCAGCGTGGCGGTGATCTCCTACCGAGTGCAGGCTGTACCGCCAATGCCCAAGCCGGGTATGCGAGAAGGTTGAAAAGGCAGCTTAATGCTTGCCCAGGATTGCTATCCGTGGCTATGGATGGCATCCAGGCACGTGTAAATAGCTAATTAGCTTGACTTTGTGTGAGATAAGCGCACAAGGTACGCCGCTGATGCTTGGTGATCCACTGGAAGGAATGCTTGATGGAGACGCCCTTAGCGGCGGCCGCATGGAATGCGTGGCACATTCCACGCTGAGCCGTGCAATGCCGCGAAACTTTTGTCAGGATCTCACAGTCTCAGCTACGCAATCGTGCCTGATGAGGACGTGGAGGCCGTGCATGGCCGTGCTTTAAATGGCACAAGCATCAATTTAGCATGACTCATCACTGGTTCATCATGACATGAGGCGATAGCAGGTTCTCCTTGTGCCCTTCTTCACCTTCTCGTATTCCCTGTGCCCTTGAGGATGTCGTGCTGGATCTCGAGGCTTTCGGCTCAGGAGTGGTGTGAAGTTGTCGAGCCCTGCTGAGCCCCTGCGGCCTGCTGATCCCTGCTGTGCCAATGTTGAGCATAGCTGAGCCATGATGACTCAGAGTCTCCTCCTCCGTGAATTATCCCCCCCTCTGCTTCAGGTTTGTGCGGGCAAAGTGCGACTTCAAGCTGGACTGCGTCCTGAGATCAAGGCATGGACATGGAGCTTGCAGAACTTGCACGTGTATCACACTGCATGACACAATTACGAGTGCATCTCACACAATCGGAGATTTCCTTGCCCTTGGGCAGGCGGGTGTTCCGAGTGGCGCTCCCGGCGCTTGGCTGAGTTCATTTCCCTGTAGTTTTCGCATGCTCCTCTTCTCTTCTTGTGGCTCGTTCTTGGTACCAGGTGGGGAACATCTACTGGACCTAGAGGGTAGCATCTCACGGCTGAGAATGAGCCGAAAGATGAATGAGTGGATACAGGTGTTGGCAACTCTGTGGATGTTGTGCCGAATGTCAGTGAACAGAGTACAGCACACGCACGCCTAGATGTCAAATGCGTCAGGTGTCATCTGTTGATGGCCGCTATGCGCGCTACATCCTTGCAGCTCAGGACGGGCCGCACGCCCAAAGAGATAATTGCGGGTCGCTCGGTGGAAGCTGATGAGTTTGTTTGCAGGATGCAGCCGATGTCACCTGGTTGGATGCTGGGAACCTCAAGAGGCTGGGCTCAAAAGGCTGATCTCTTGATTTGATCGATTGCAATACCTCCAACACATCTGTCACCGCCATGCTGTTGTAACTACGTCCTGTCATGTCCGGCTAGTAAGGCTCCTCACCTCAGTAGGTTGACAAAAACTCTGCGCTCCTTCGGCGCCTGTCTCACTCGATCTTGCTCCCTGCGGTTCAAGGTCTCTGGTGGTAAGCCAGCGAGACGGAGGGGTGTACGTCGTGTGAGCCTGAGAAGCTCCAGGTATCTCCAGGTCCTGCTCGATTCCTTGTGTCCTTGTCGTTCAGAGAGTTGAGAGAGCCGAGAGAGCTGGGAAAGGGATGGGAAGCAGCGCGGCTCTTCGGCCAAGGCAGGGTGCTATGTGAACTTAGATGACCACATCACTGAATGATCTGAGTGAACTCAACCGCTGCTGATTCGGTATAGACTTTGTATAGGCAGTTGCGGACTGGGTAACCCGAGTGGATGAGTGAAATAAAGAGAACAGTCTGGCAGCATGTGCAAGCTGTGAGGTCATGATGTGAATCCGCAAGCACGCTACGAGGCTTGCTGCGAGTCATTGCATGTGTTCCTGCATGTCGCCTTCTAGGAGAAGCTGTCTCGTTGTTCTGGCGGCAGGTCTTCTATGGCAGAATGGCAAAGCTGACTTCAAACATGTCCACGGCATGTGGGATGTACCTGGAGTTCGCGCCTTGGGTGCTGATTCCAGCTGTGAGCGAGCCAACTGCCAGATGCAGGACATGTGTGAGTTCTCGCTATGGCATACACGGTTGGGGCGTGCAATGTCGGAGCTTGTGCGGTGGCCGGGCCTGAAGCGATTGAGAATCCGCAATTTGGTAGCTTCGAACATCAAGATTCATCGCGTTGTCTCGGGATCATCGCCCAATCCGATGCTGGCTGGGGGTGCGGGGGGCACTCCAGGGATACTCTGCGGGATTCTCTGGGACTGGACACTCCAAGGGATACGGGCACTTGCAACGAACCAGCAAGGATCCAAAAAACTCACAGCTGTCTCAGGCCCCTGACAGTTCCCGAGCAGTACCACCCAATTCAGATGCAGAATATACATGCGGACTCGCTCGATGCGTGCGTCTTGCGCAGAGAAGCCGGAAGTCTTGAATGGAAGCAGCCATGGCCGACAAACGCCGTGACCGATGTCGGCTGAGGCATTCGTTGCGTTCTTTAAAGAGGATCGTTGTCGATGGCGGCAGCGAAGCATTCATCGAGGCCAGATCCAAAGACTCGAGCTTTTAGCCCCCGTTTACATCAGTCTTTTCGTGCAGGACCTGAAGCTGGGCCAGTACGCGGTGAACGTTGTTGCCAGGACAGGAGTAGCTCAACTGCAAAGCTCTGAATGTAAGCTCGCTGGCGGCAGGAGTTTGACTACTGGTCACGTGGTTGCCTACCAGCCGTGGATTGGAGACATTGGCGATGCAGACAGGCATAGCAGCTCATCATACTGTAGGGGGCAGCTTCCCTGGTCAAGATTACAGGACGGGGCCGACTGCAGACCACAGAGCGAGGCGAGTTTGTTTGGTGGTGACTTGTTTGTGTGTGTGTGTGCAACTCTAACTCGTAGTGTTGAGTCGTCGTGAAGGCAGTGGCTGGAATGGCCAGTCCCAGTGTTGTTTGTGGTCGGCAGCTTAATGGCGCGCTCCCCAGAAGGCAATAGAACGCAAGTGCATCAAGTGCGCGGCTTCCTTTTTCAAAGACCCCGGCAGGCGTGGCAGCTCTGCAGAAGCCTGAGCCGGTTCTCAGAAATCTCGTCATGTTGCATGCGTTGCGTGGGAGGTAAGGGCGCCATTTACCGTGCCAACCCTCTGCCACCAATGAACTTCGAACTGCCCTCCTGGAGGAGGCCTTGTCATGTCCAGCTGTGCATGAAACACTGGGGTATATGTTGGGTACATGCCTGCCAGTTCTTCACAGAACTACCTTTCCCTGGACGGCGGCCGGTTCCACAGCCTTATGTTACAATGTTAACAGTAGCCGATCTCGTACACAGCCTTTGAGGTAGGCGCTAGCTTCTTGGTGTCAAGGCCGTGAGATTGGCGGGCGCTATGTTCCACCGGCCCTCGCAGAAACCTCAGAGCAAGAATGATTGGAGATTTGAAACGGTTCTGCTTAACAGAATGCTCCTCAAAGCAAGGGATTTGTGCTGCCACGTCCGGATGTATGAATCTTTGGATCCAACATAGTCCACGTAGCCATGCCCTCCAAGCGGCGCCAGTGCCACTGTCCGTCCTGAGTTCTGTGAGAGTCCAAATGATTCCTCTGATGATTCCTCTGCTGCAGTGAGCCTGGACTGGAGCATCCACCCGACGAGTGATCTGCCTGCACACTAGTAGTGGGAAGCCTGGCCGCCAGGTCTCTGCTGATGTCTTTGCATAAGCTGTTCATTTCTAAGTTCAAACAAAGCGTGGTTTGCAGAATCCACGCGCCGCCTGTTTGAAAGTAGGCAGAAGACGACCTGGCGAGATTGCTTGAGTGATTCATCCAAACCTGATGCTGAGTTTGAGAGTCACGTCTTAAAGTTCTCGTGTTCTGTGAGTGTGAAGCCATTGAGAAACAAGCGAGATCTTGCAGCTGTTCTGGCTTTCAGGGCAGCCGCATCAGTTCTTGATGGACGAAGTCCAGTTCAAGCTCTCCTAATGCAGACTTATCTTTCGCTCGGAAGATGTGCTGCCTTTATTGCAGCATCCGTGCTTGCAGCTGAAGCTGCCAAAGCCACATCGCTGTCAGGCCGGGCCTCCTTGTTACGCAGCCTCACTAGTGGGGACAAGCTGCCCGTGAGCCTGGAGAACATCGAAACCGCGCTTCTTGCCCTTGAGAAGCAGCGAGGAACGCCAGGATTGACAAATACAGTCACAGAGATTCACAAGATGGTAACGCACATGGAGATGATGGTACAGCAACAGGCAAGGTTGACTCAAGAAACCCTTGATCAGGCTTGGTCTGATTTCACGTCTTGCCAAGGGCTCTATGAGGCTGCTTCACACGACCTGCAATCTGTGGACAGCTTAGCGAAGGATCATGCCAAGTGCCGCCTCGAAGAGTCCAGTTTGAAGATTGAGCTGGAGGCTTGCGAGAGTGAGTTGACGGCACGAACGTCAAGTGAAGTCCAGCGCAAGAACGAGTTTGATGCCTTGAACAAATTTCCAGCCAGTGGATTCTGCAACCACCGATCGAACTCCCACGAGTATGCCACCGTCCGAGGTTACATCAAACATTTTCGCGATCACTTTGCGTCACAGCTAAACTCGTGGGAAAGTGCCTTCAACGCTTCAAACACTGCCGCGCAAATGAAGCTTGAGAAGGCTCGTGAATGTTATGGTGGAGACCAGAAGCGTGATGGAATGGGTGGCAAAGATGCTGCTTACAACGCCAAACGGCTTGACTGTCAGAAGCTCCAGGTCAGGCTTGAGGATGCGGCATGTGATCGAATAGCCCATCGAACGGATTGTGTTGCGTATGTCATGTGCTATCAGTCCAATTTCAAGGCCTTCTTCGATGAAGGCAAGGCAAAGGAAACGGCCCTCTTGCAGTCGCAGAAACAGCACACCGAGTACCGTGGCCTTGGAAGAATCAAATGTGTACTCGATGCCTATTCCAAGTACGCAGATGGGGACTCGCTGACGCAGTCAATCGCAGATTGCCAAAAGGGAGATGCCGACCAGACCTTCGTCCAGATTGAGCTTCCAGACAAGAAGCCCGGGGCTATGCCCGCGAACAATACAGGCTGCCTAAGCCAGAATTCTGCTGAGAAGCCAGGCTCCTTGCTCAGTTGATGCTGTCAAGTTGCCCAGTGAGAGTTTCATCACCAGCGCGAGCTGAGGCACCCAAGCCTTTACACAGGAGATGTACAAGAAGCTCATCTCCCCAGATGATGCTGTGCATTGGGACAACGTCAAACAAGATGTCTTGACCTGTCGCAGCCTCAGTGATAGCCAAGCAATAGCCCGGTGAGGTTCATGTGTTTACGTGTTCGCAAAGTGGAAGCTGACGTGGCCGAGGCCGAGGAAGATGCTGTGCATCACCTGCTGAAGCAACCGTTTAGATGTAGCTTGATGCAGTTTGGTATGTGTCGCAAAATCAAGGGGAACAATGATCAACTTGTCCAAGCCCGCCGTTGGTTTGTTTGTAACACCACATGCAATGATTCTGCAAACAGGTCTGCCACTGACACACGCTCAACTTGATTATGCATGAATGGTATGTTTCCGAACTCATGCAAAGGGCACTAGCTCACCAAATGTAATGATCATGAGGATTTTCGGGTTCTACGTAGCTTGTCCTGATGGGCTTTCGGGCTCGTGGAATTATTTCAGAGTCTTTTTCCATTGAATGATATTTAGATTTATCTATCCTCGATTCTTATTCCAAATCTCCCGGGAATGGGATATCATCGATAGAATCGATGGATACTTTCTAAATCATATATATATATATATAGATATAGATATATATATATATATATTTTTTTTTGAAGATGATATATATTTTTTGATTTTATACATTTATATTGAATATCGATTTTGATAAATCTCGATAAATTACGATATGATAAGATTTTCTTTTTTATTTCTTATTATAAATTTCTTTTCTCTCTAAATTGAATATTGAATATTCTCGAAGAATCGGAATTTTGAAAAATTGATTTCAAATTTTTAAAGAGAAACTACTCTTAATTAGATTTATTTAATTTGGAGGCTATATATATCTCTTAAAAAATATAATCAGTGGAAGGAAACTTTAAGAATGTGACCCGAAAACCGATTTCTATTAATAAAATTAATTAATATTGAATAAAAATCATGGTTCATTTCTAGAATCCTATGAAAGCTCTGGATACATTATTTTCAATTAAGGGGTTATAGGAGGACGCTTGACACAATATTTTGCCAATTTTACGATTCTTGAAGATATCTACTCTATAAAACGCTACGGTCAAACCAGCCCTATGCGGTGCGTCACGCCTCGGAGTGCCCCAGCCCCAAAATTTTCCGGAAATTTCTGGACCCCGGCGAGCAAGCCGCTTTGGCCTACCCGGGACCCAAAATTTCCGGGAAATTTTGGGGCTTGGGCTGTGCCCTTTGAAAGGCTGGGCCTCTTCGACGGCCGCAAGCCGGATTCGCTCCCCTAAATTTCTGGAAAATTTCTGGTTCCGGGTAGCCCGAAGCCTCGGTCCCTAAATTTCCGGAAAATTTGCTTCATCGCTTTCCTAAATTTTCCGAAAATTTACACACCCAAAATTTTCAGGAAATTTAGGAAACGGATGCAGCCTGATCATGTTCAGAAGCCACGGCCCAGCTCCCTAAATTTCCGGAAAATTTAGGGTGCTGGGTGGCCGAAAATGTCGAAGCATTGTTGACCGCTTGAACCGTTGAGTTCAGGTGTTGATCATTTGCCATGTTGCTGCATGCTTTCATTGCATGCTTTCATTGTTTTCAATCGTGCTTTGTTTTGTGGCATTACAAAGCTAAAATATTAAACAGGACTTTTACTTCACTTCCAAGATGAGCGCATCACCTGGCATTACCAGGATATTACGAGCGTGCTTTGTTTTATGGCATTACAAAGCGCATTACCTGGCATTACCAGGTCGTCGTCGTCGTCGTGTCGTCGTCGTCGTGCGTCGTCGTCGTCGTCGTCGTCGTCGTCGTCGTCGTCGTCGTCGTCGTCGTCGTCGTCGTCGTCGTCGTCGTCGTGCGTCGTCCGTCGTGCGTCGTCCGTCGTGCGTCGTGCGTCGTGCGTCGTCGTGGGTCGTGCGTCGTGCGTCGTGCGTCGTTCGTCGTCGTCGTCATCGTCGTCGTCGTCGTGGTCGTCGTCGGGTGTCGTCGTCGTCGGGTCGTCGTCGGCGTCGTCGTCGTCGTCGTCGGGCGTCGTCGTCGTGCGTCGCGCGTCGCGCGTCGTGGGTCGTGCGTCTTGCGACGTGCGTCGCGCGTCGTGCGTCGGGCGTCGGGCGTCGGGCGTCTTTGTCGGGC